TTCCCCCATCCCTACAACCCCGCTTCCTCACCCTCCCCTATCTCTGCTACCCCGCTTTCCCACCCCCTGGACAACCCAACTTGGACCCTTATAACCCCATCATCCCCAAACCCCCCATAGTTACGGCAACCCCAGAGGTTGCTCCCCTACCAACCCGCACATCTACCCCCACCCCAAAAGAGCACACCCACCCTTTTTTTTTTGGGCAATCTCCACCATAACATCCCCTGGACGCGCGCGCCCCTGCCAGGCGTGAGTTCTCTTTTTTTGACGAGCGCGCGGACCTGAAACGACTTTGAGCGCGTTTGAGGGTTGGGGCGAGGGGGTTGAGCACGTGCTTAAGCGTGTGCGTACGCGCTTGAGGGCGCTCAAATGGTTTCATAGCTTGCAGCAGCATGTGTGTCCTTATACTGTTTGATTAGGATCTCTTCGAGTGTGGCAACTGGCGTGGCTTTAAGCCACAGGGTTGAGTTAATCTTTGTATAACCTGCCCGTACAGCTTGGACTTCCAAGAAGCCCCGCACGACGGATTCCACATTTATCCCCATGATCAAGGACTGGTCACTAACTGTGTTTCCAACCCCTTGGAAGTAAGATCAGATAGAGCTGATCCATGACTCAATGTCGTCCTTGTGACGCGCAACATCACGCCCTGTGCTGTCTTCCGTTCGGAGTGTTTGATTTGCGGAAGGGGGCCCCGGAAAGGCAGCGAGATGGGGTGTGCTAAGGATTTTTGGAAAATTGTGTGCGGGGACACAGACAAAACCGAAATCCCCGTGCTGGTCTGACTTAGTAAGAAGGGAGGGTCCGCCACTATACGAGCGTCAAGGGAGGAGAAGGCGCACGCGGGACGTTCAACGCGGGGAAGTTCAATCGAAAAAGTATCGTTGAACTTCCCAGCGGGCCGTTGCTCTTCGCTTCGCGTGAAAGGGAGCAGGGATGCATTTGGTGTCTCCCTTTCGGATCAAGTGCCGACGCCCCTCATTGCACAACTCAAAATCTGACGTGGAGGGTCTCAGCCGCGTAGCTCGTTCCTTATGTTCGTTTTCACTTTGTACTCGGTAGTGGAAGCCCTTTGATTGGTAACACTCGAAGCGACAACAATCGCTGCACAAAGTGTTAGGCCAATGGGGCACCAATGTCGTCCACGGAATGACGATCAATTCATTAAACGGTAATAGCAGCGAATAAGGCGAAAAATGCGTATCAATAATGACAAAACCCGCATCGACAAATCCTGACCACTGAGTTTCGGGAGGGAAATAATATCGGCCGCCGATCTTGGCGACAACTTCTCGTACGTCCCACTCGCATACACGTGTCCTTTTCTCGTTGTACGGGAAGGGACATGGAGGGGATACGGGAGGCTGACGCCCAGTCGGGTTGAGGCCTTCAGTCCACATGGCAATCCAATCAATCGCAAGAGTCGGTTTCAATTATTCATCGTTAACCCGACAATTGAAAATACACAACCTATCGATTGGCTTTTTCGGTCGTCACTTTTCTTCGCCTCAGGCGTGCGACGCAAAGTGAAAGCACTCCTACATTTCCTTAAAGGTAGCTCAAAGAGAGAGAGAGAGAGAGAGAGAGAGAGAGAGAGAGAGAGAGAGAGAGAGAGAGAGAGAGAGAGAGAGAGAGAGAGAGAGAGAGAGAGNAGAGAGAGAGAGAGAGAGAGAGAGAGAGAGAGAGAGAGAGAGAGAGAGAGAGAGAGAGAGAGAGAGAGAGAGAGAGAGCACTCACAATGATCTGATGGTCTCGTTAAGAAATTTTCAGTACTCACATCAGGTGGGACACAATAAGCGATTCATGCATGGTGTCCCTCTTCTTTTATGAGGAAATAGATCACTTGTCAGGTTGTGCGTAATGCATTTCGAATCACATCGTCGGCAGATCTAAACACTGTTGCATTCTCGAACAAAATCTCAACAACATTGCTCTTGCCAATCACTCAACCATTCTCACACATTTCATTTACAACAATTCCTCAGCCTAATCAAAGATCGGGAAGGTGCGAAAATGGCAGCCATACATTATTCGGTTTCCCATGTGCTCTGCATCCCTGCCCCGTCATCTCATGGCTAATCAAAACGCCGGCCCATCAGGCACCCCTTTCATGACATGCATACATAGTCATTCGCATCACAAGATAAGTGGGGAGAAGAAGTGCGAAATGGATTCAATAGAGGGCAATCATACAGAAGTTTGGAGATGAAACGAATTGGTTTAAGGGTAATTGCCCGTCGAAAGCCATGTTGATCCCTCACAATCCGATCTCAGCCAATCAGAATCGTCGTGCAGTAGGGATCTCCTCTTACCCAACGCTTCTCCTTGGCTAGATGGGAAGAGATTCGGGCGGGAAGAAGAAGAGTGCGAAGGATGGCGCGAAACGGCTCCAAGATCAGATGGTCAAGAAAGAGAAAAAAAGGCGCGTGCGGGGAAGGAGAGAGAAAAACAGTTACAGGGGGAGGGAGCGAGAAAGCATGTGCGAGCGAGGGAAGGCGCTGAGAGGAGCGTGAGAAGGAAGGAGGAGGGAGCTCGTATGCATGGTGCCGAACAACAAAAGAAAAATAGGCACCGAAACAGTTGCAGTTTTTCCCAGCCCTACGCTAATTCAAAAATTTATCACCATATCCGCGCGCAGAGTAGGTGTGGGAAAAGAAAGAAAGTCCTACTTCTATCCATATTCCTACAAAATTCCCAGAGTTTTCCATGTCGAGGCCGAGAACATCCGCGCGTGAAAGGACACGTCGCGCTCCGTTAATTCCGGAATTCCTAACTGTCGAGCCAAATTTCGAGCGCGCTTACTATGGCGCGCGTAATTCCCATGCATTTCCAAAAAATGACGGAAATTCAAGAGCCACTAGTGCTGACAAAAATACAGATCTCAGCGAGGTACCTTTAATCGGAAAAAAAAAAAGAGGGGGGGTTTCGGGGGCTGAGCAAGACACATCTTGATGCAACAAAAAAACAAGGGGGAGGGAAGGGGTCTGGAAGATGGCGCAGGTCTAGGAGCTGGTACGTCACATATGTGACGCACAGGGAGTTCCAAAATTATGCGATCTCCTGATTGCATGCCATGGCGGAGGAGGAGGGAGGGAGAAGAGAGGATGAATGAGGAACCAAGCATATCAGGAGATAGAGTGTCTGCATCAGCACAGATAGTTGAGCCAGAGTTCATGTTGACGCCAACGTCAATTGCAATATCTTCGCGAGTCCGCTGGCTCGAGCTGCAGGAATCCCCTTGCCTCCTTGATCGCGGGAGATTGTCCAAGTGACCCCATCATAGTCCGTTGTTTCTCCGTGTGCTCTGCATCCTTGTCTTGTTATTGGAAGTCCGCCCCCCGATAGTTGACAAGGAGAGGGTGATGGAGGGGTCGGGGCCACTCAAATGGGAGCGGAGGGAAGTAATCCGCCGCTTCGTCGCCGAGATCGACGAAGTGTACGATCCGGTGCGCGCGGGGGAATCGATGATTGGGTCGGGACAAGGATAGTAAGTAATCGGGATATAAGGAGGGGATGGTGCGGAGGACATTATCCCTTAGGGACTCATAGTCCTCTACGGCAGGAAAGGTGCCAGAGATGATACAATACAACTCCATATGGTTGAACTGTACCCAGGCGACGCTAAAGAGGAGGATGTTGAGGGGGAAAGAGGGGGAGCGATGAGGAAAGACCATACACAGGAGTCGCGCGACGAAATGATGACGAAATGCGTGGCTGGCGAAGATACGATAGTCCAGAGGGAATTCAAGGTGGGGGAGGGGAAGGAAGGAGAGGTAATCAAGGGGGCGGTGGAAAATGGGACGAGGACAGTACGTACGGGCCGGGAGGAGGACGGGGACGAAACGCGGAGGGGGTGGATGCAGAGGGAGATGGTGAGCGAGAGCGGCGGCGCCGGCGGGAGGTTGCTGCGTCATTGTGTCGACTGGCGGCGTCCGAGGGAGCAGCAGGATTCAACGCGAATCCTCCCCGAACGGTAGGCAATGCTCGTGCAGGAGGGGCTTCTCGGGGCTCAGGTGTTGATGCCTCTTCTTCCTCCTTCGACGTCGATCGGGCTTTCGACTCCTTTTCCTCTGATAGTCTCGCAATGGCTATGCGTCCCGGGTCGTCATCCGACGGTACCTCCCCGTTCTCCTGATGGGCCTTCCAGAACTCGTCGAAGTCGTAGCTATCCGGCGCAAGGTCGTCCAGGTCCAAGTAGCACCAAACCGTAGGATCATGATCGCTCAGGTACTGACCGTAATCTTCCGTGCAGTTTGCCCAGATTACGGTTGGCATCAACTTCCTCTCCAAGGTCATCGGTTCAGCCTGACTTGGATCGCTAGGATTGAAGGAGATGATATCCGTCGACGGGTCATCGACGAGCTGGGACAAGAACGTGAGAAGCTCGTAGGCGACGGTCGCTCGACCGCTCTTCACGATTTCTTCACACAGAAGCCCTACGAACGTGTCGTCGGTGGTTCTCTTTCGGCCACAGCTGCGCCAACACCAGTGAAATCTCGTGACTGTGCTCCAACTCCCGATTGCTATAATACCGCGACCAGTGGCACTTCACCGTGAGCATGCACACACTAACCGTCGCAAACTTAGTCCACTTTCGGATGTAGGTTGGACTGAATGGAGGAATCGAGACAGGACAAATTTCCAGAGTGAGAAGGGGATCGGTCCAAGATGGCCAGATGGTCGGAAGGTCAGAGGGGATAGACAAGGTGGAGAAACGATTCATCGACGTTCGGGGTAGGGATGAAGATGGGGAAGCGGGCGAGCGGGGCGATCAGTGGTGCTAGTCCGAAGAGAGAAGGTGTCAATACAGTCAGTCCCCACTACTTGTCGCCTTGGCTGGGCCAGTCGCTGCCGCCAATCAGCCGCCAACTCCTGCCCCCACTTGTAAAGACTGGTCACCACTGCATCGCGCCGCTGCAAGCCGATGGTACACAAATCGCCACTGAAATCCACGAGTACCGTCACGTCGCTCTGAGTAGGCCGTGAGAAGTGATGAAACCCTGACGCCTCTGCCAAGATGACTGCCGAGCCTCGATCGGTCGATATAGTTATCTCAACGGCGGCGCACCAAGCCCCGTGACTGAAGAGTTGTGCAAATCGAAGAAGATCGGGACTGACACGGGGGTGCGTGACTTTGGCGAAATTGCAACAAAGCTCAAGGTTGAAGAAGCTGGGGTGGAAGAGCCAGCTCATTGACAAAACTCATGGCGAAGGTGAAGGGGAGGTAGAATCAAACGAAGGAAAGGAAATAAGTTCCTCGTCTGCACTGGAGGAAGAAGAAGGAGAGGGGTTGGGTTCTCAGAAGGAGGGAGGGGGCAAAGGTAAGAGGTGTGACGGACAATGGGAAGAGAGCTATGGCTGGCGCTGGCTTCGGGCGTGATGCGCACCGTGTTGGCTCCGTTAGGACCGAGTTCTACGACGCGAAAACAGCCAGAGAATTTGGGAGCGAGTTTACCGTCGCGTGCACATTTGCATACCTGCACGAGATCCCCTAGCTTATATTGGTGTTGCGGGCCTGCATTTCCGTTCCGGGCCTCGTAGCTACGGACCTGTCTACCGTGGGCCAGTTCGGCAATTTTCTGTCTTTTCCGGGCCAGCTTAGGAATGGCCCTTTCCATTAAATCCGCATACCGCTTGGCTTTGGCCTTAAGGGCCGCATGCGTGTCCCTACCCCCTTTTTCAGCAATTTCCGCGATACCCCAATTACGGACACATGGAAGGCTATTGGTCCGAAGCTGGAAGGGGTGAACCCCGTGGACTCATGCGGGGTCGCTCGATGGATCCCGACGATCTGATAGACAATCTCAGGCCAAGGACGCGTGTCACGAGCCGCCAAATCCTTGTGGAGGGCGGTCTTAATCATGCGATTCGCATTTTCGGCCAACCCGTTCGATTGGGAAACATGGGGAGCGGTGTGTCGAAGAGTAACGCCACGCCGCATTAGTAATTCCTCTACCTCAACTTTGAATTCGGATCCATTATCGGTTAGAATCTCCTCTGTATCTAGATGAGTATTGAGGAATCGATCGATGTATGTGGCTATCTCTGAGGCTTTACGGGTCTTACACGGGTAGACTTTAATATATTTCGAGAAGTGGTCGATTAACACCAGGAGGATGGAATATTCGCAGCGGTTGGGGCCAGGTGGCACGCCAATATCTGTCGTATCCATACTGACCCGTTGAAAAGGTCGTTCTACCTCTGTCGGGACTATTGTATTTGGTCCACGAATGGGTGCACGGCCGGCCGCACAAACCAAACAGTTAGCAACCACGTGCTTCACATCATCCCGGATATTAGACCAGAACCATCGATTTTGATCGATAGTTGCCTCGGTGACACGTATTGCGAAATGAGCGGCCTGTTCCTCGTGCGCCGACCTAGTCCAGTCATATCTCTGGAAGGGATGGGGAACTGTCAACCATAACCTCGATCCGTCTGTCTCAGGCTTCTTTAGATGACAGTTGATCCATCGATAATCTCGGGACCTTTCGGTAGCCCGACGCCTATCATGCTTAGTGAGATGGTCCAATGGTTGGCCAGCTAATTTCGCTAATAATATTTTATCCATCCACACCTCCGCCCGTCGATACTTCTCGTCGTATTCAGGGTCGTCCGTTCGGGCGGCCTCGAATCGAACCTCCGTAGGAAGTTTGTCCGTCCTACACAAGGGGCATCTCCATTCGTTACTCCTCGTTCTGTATCGAACACACGCGCCATGCGCACGATTGACACACGTGGCGCATTCTACCCAGTCAGTGAATCCAGACTCAAAGGGATAGCAGTCTACCCCATAAACTCGGGAAATACACGTACAAAAATAACAGAATTTGTCTGGGAGATTGACGAGAAAGTCCGAATGAGAGAGGGGAGCGGAAGGGGTGGGAGAGACCGAGAGAAGGGGGGGTTCCATTGTTCCGAGAGAGAAAGGGAGAGAGAAGCGGGGTGGGATGCACGTGTCCACCTAGCCCTTCGGCAAGATCTCCACTTGTCCGTATCGAGGCTCGTTCTTTGGCTCCGGGTCGCGCCAGGGGATCACTTCTTCACTCCTGGGTACCTTGTCGGGGCGGTGGAGTCGTGTCAGCCCGTCCGCGTTGCCGTGTCTCTCGTGCTTTCGATGACGAATGTCAAAGTCCATGCTCTGCAACGTGGTGGCCCATCGCCCGATCATGCCCGAGTAATCCTTAAACTTCTTCAGTGCCAGTAGCGGTTCGTGATCGGTCACCAACGTGAACTTCCGGCCATATAAGTACGCTCAAAAGTGATTGATCCCCCACAAGGCCGCATAGCATTCCCCCGTCGGGGCCGAATAGTTGCGCTTACAAGTCGACACTGACTTGGACGCGTATTCCACCACATGTTCGAGGCCGTCTGGTCCTACTTGGGCCAAGATCGTTGAGACCGCCTCGGACTGCCAATCGGTGATGAGGATAAAGGGCTTTTCCGGGTCCGATCGTATAAAGACTGGCGCCGAAATCAAGGCCGCCTTGAGTTCTCGTAAAGCCCGATCGCATTGCGGAGTCCAGATCAATGGCTGATCAAMAAATTCGTGAGTGGTCCCGCGATCGCAGCAAAACCCTTGATGAACCTTCGGTAGTACGATGCCAAACCCAAAAAGGCACGCACTTGTGTCACGGACGTCGGTACTGGCACATCTTTCACGGCTGTCACTTTCTGAGGCTCCGGCTGCAACCCTTGGTCCGTGACCACGTGGCCGAGGAAGGAGATCTCGGTGAGGAAAAACTGGCACTTTTCAACAGCCACCTTGAATCCAGCGACCTTCAGCGCGTGCAAGGTCCATTCGATGTGCTGCGCGTGCCCCTCATAGGAACTTGAAAACACAAGGATGTCATCCATATAAACAATCACACAATAATTGATTATGCTCTGCGCCAGCCGCGTTTTTCGCACGAAGTTCTGGAAATCCACATTCATCGCGCGTTGAAACGTGGCTGGGGCATTGCAAATCCCCATCGGGCATCGAACCCATTGCCAAGTCCCTTCGAAAAGAATGAACGCTGGTTTCGGGCGGTCTTCTTTTCGAACAAGGAGATGGTGGAATCCATGGAATCCATGGCGAATATCAAATTTACTGAAAAATCGAGCACTACCGATAGCATCCAGCAACTCATCAATACGGGGGAGGGGATACACATCCTTGATCGTGATATCATTCAATTTTCGATAATCGATGCATATGCGGATGCCTCCTGCCTTTTTCGGTACAATCACTATCGGAAACGACCATGGTCCGATAGCGGGTTTGATCCAACCATTAACTTCAAATTCCTTAATCCTCTAGGGAGCGCAGCTAATCGGCGGATGATCCCCCGTGAGGATCGCATGCTCAATCACGTTGGATAATCCAATATCTTTATCATGCACACTCAGCACCTCTGCATACCCATACAAAACATCAATCAGGGATCTTTGGATTTCTTGGGGGACATGACTGGGTAGTGCAATTACGGGGCTATCGGAGATGTTAAGGGGCATTTCGATCCAATCCATCCTTCGCGATCGCCTGCCGTTTACGCTTGAGAACATGGAACTWCTAGTTCGGACTGAGAAGACGRTGGCAATCATCTATGATTCGGCCGGACTGATCATCTCAGTTTCCTTAATTTCGATATCGGTCTCCGGATCATCGATGCTTTTTGCTACTTCCAATCCTGTCAACTCGGTCATTTCCTGCATGAGATCTGGAACATCATCTATCGGAGCCTCTGCTTCTTGCTTGATCAGGGCGATCATGGCTCCTTGCGTGAGTAATGATCAGGTGGATAGACAGAAAGATCCAGATACTGATTCATCTGCTGATACCTAGCCCGGAGTGAAAGTGCGCCCTCGTATAACGTGCGAGGGGGTTCCAAGAGATCAGCCATATCTGAAATCTGCAAGATCGGTTCCCCTAGGAATAACGTGGGGGGAATTCGTCTTTCTGTTGACAGGATACGGCTAGGCTCGCGAGTCGCTACTTTCTGAGCTCAGATCAAATGTTCGGGCGGTTGCGGGGATCATTCGAAATTCCTCTTTCGTCTCGCAACTGAACATTTCGACTAATTGCTCCCATTCTTCTTTGTTAGGCATGCGATTCAACTCTTCCTCATAATCGTGCTCGTCAAACTCACCTTCTCTCGCAAGGTGTTGTTCCTCGTCATTGCCCGGGGGAGAAGCTTCCGGGCTCAGGAGCTCGATCATTCCTAT